AATCCTCTTAATCCTCCCCTCGATTCCCCCTGGGCCGCCAGGCGTCGCGATCAGAGATCACGACGGGCGCCTCCTCGCAGCCTCGGGCACCTTGGGGTCTGGGTGCGGCCTCCGGACAGCGGATCGTGGTCACAGCTGGAGCAGGCTTACGTGCACTGTGCAAGCAGAAACGCTTTCACTTACCATCGACCGAGAGCAGGTCATCCGGGCCCCTGGCTCGCCCGCGCAGCTCTTTCCAGGGCCAGTCTCCGGACCGACGCGCGTGCCTCGCCTCGTCGCGCCTCACCACCGGGCAGGAGCAGTTGCCCGCGGCGATCGAGGAGAGCGCTCGGGGGCCCCGGGGGGCGGGGTCCCGGAGCGGAGCCTGCGCACTCCGAGCTTGGCCTTGGAGCTCAGTCTGGACCCGAAGTGGGCCAAAGAAGCCTGGGTGGTGCCTCCTCCGATCTTCATCCCCCTCTGGGGCCATTTCGGCTCGAGGTCGTCTGGGCACGTGGCGGGAGGATCGAGAGGGTACGCCCCAGAGCTTCGCGAGCTGCCATGGCGATGAAGTACCTGGGCTCCTACATGCTCGCCGTGCTCGGCGGGAAGGAGAGCCCGACGGCCGAGGACGTGAAGCTCATCCTGGAGGCTGGGGGCATCGCTTGCGAGGACGAGATGCTGAACAGGCTCATCGAGCGCATGGAGGGCAAGCAGGTGCACGAGCTCATCGCCGAGGGCTCCAAGAAGTTCGCCGCGTGCGGCGGTGGCGGCGGAGGCGGCGGCGGCGGCGGCACCCCGGCAGCCGCCGGCGGCGGTGGCGGCGGCGACGCCGGAGCAGAGAAGAAGGAAGAGAAGAAGGTCGTGGAAGAGGAGGAAGAGGAGGACGTGGACTTCGACCTGTTCGGCTGAGCAGTGGGCCCCGCCCGCGCGGGCGCGAGCGGATCTGCGTCGCACCCGGCCGTCCCTGGCGCGCCCGATCAACGTGCAAGCCGTCGCCACCACCACTGTTGCCACACTTGCCGCTACTGCTGCTGACTGCCGCTGATGCTTCTCCTCCTCCTCCTCCCTTCCGTACGCTGTGCATCCTCTCTCTCTCTCTCTCGCCCTGATTATCTCTGACTCTCTCTCTCTCTCTCTTTCTCTCCCTCTATGCCTTATTTTTCTTATTTCTCTGTCTCTCTCTCTGCTTCTCTCTGTTTGTATCTCTCTAGGTGTGTCTATGTTTACATGTATCCTACGTTGTATAGCATTACATGCCACCATCGTTTGTAATTAGATATTACATGTTCACCGATGGTACTACCGTGCCTTCTTTTATACGACCGCCTATCCCATGTTTACGAACGAGAGGATCTCAGGTTCGCTTATATTATCGTATGTCCTGTTATATTTTTGTTCTTGAAGTACAGTGGATTACCCGACCTTCTCTTATACCGTTGTTTATCGTCTACTCTTCTCTTCTCTTATATTATTTTACCGTATCTTATCTTTTATTATATGTTCTGCTCTTCTCTCCCCCTCTCTTAAATTATCTCCATCTCTCTCTCGCCCCCTAGATAAAGGTTATAAACATTTGCACGCCGCATCCCCCCTCCTCCTTCTCATCCTCCTCATGATCATCACCATCACCATCACCATCGTCATACTCCTCCTCGTCGTCATCCTCCTCAGCGTCCTTCTCCGCCTCCACGTCCTCCTCCACATCTTCCTCCTCCACCTCTTCCTCGTCGTTCCTCGTCCGCCTCCTCCCCCTCCTCCGCGCCGTCCTCCTCCACCGCGTCCCTCTTCTGCGGGGGGGGGGGCCAAGCGAGCGTGGGCGGGCACGAGGAGGACCCAGAGGCTCCAGGACCTCTTCAGACCCCCCCAAGCAAAGTAACACAGGCACAGACACAGACACAGACACAGACGCACAGACACGCACACACACACACACCCGCACACACACTTACACACTTACACACTTACACACTTACACACTTACACACTTACACACTTACACACGTACACAATTACATACTTACGCACTTACACACTTACACATTTACACACTTACGCACGTACACACTGACACACTGACACACTCACACACTCACACACTCACACACTCACACACTCACACACTCACACACTCACACACTCACACACTCACACACTCACACACTCACACACTCACACACTCACACACTCACACACTCACACACTCACACACTCACACACTCACACACACTCACACACTCACACACTCACACACACTCACACACACTCTCACACACTCACACACTCACACACTCACACACTCACACACACACACCACACACACACACACACACACACACACTTACACACTTACACACTTACACACTTACACACTTACACACTTACACACTTACACACTTACACACTTACACACTTGCACACTTACACACTTACACACTTACACACTTACACACTTACACACTTACACACTTACACACTTACACACTTACACACGTACACAGTTACACACTTACACACTCACACACTCACACACTCACACACTCACACACTCACACACTCACACACTCACACACTCACACACTCACACACTCACACACTCACACACTCACACATTCACACGCTCACACGCTCACACGCTCACATCCTCACATCCTCACACACTCACACACTCACACACCCACACACCCACACACCCACACACCCACACACCCACACACCCACACACCCACACACCCACACACCCACACACCCACACACCCACACACACACCCACACACCCACACACCCACACACCCACACACCCACACACCCACACACCCACACACCCACACACCCACACACCCACACACCCACACACCCACACACCCACACACACCACACACCCACACACCCACACACCCACACACCCACACACCCACACACCCACACACCCACACACCCACACACCCACACACCCACACACCCACACACCCACACACCCACACACCCACACACCCACATACCCGCACGCGCGCACGCGCACGCACGCACGCACGCACGCACGCACGCACACACAAACACACACACGCCAAGCGGCGTGTGCTGTGACGTGCTGTGATGTGCTGTGATGTGCTGTGATGTGATGTGATGTGCTGTGTGTGCTGTGCTGCGCTGTGATGTGCTGTGTTGTGCTGTGCTGTGCTGCCACGCACACGCACACACGCGGCCTTGCTGCGCTGTGCTGCGCTGTGATGTGTAGCGGTGTGGCATCCGGAACCATCGGCTCCGTGCCTGGAGCACTTGCCCCGGCCCCCGAAGTGTCGCCCCCGTCGTCCTTCGTCGCGGTCGTGTCGTCCGCCGTTCTCCTGTGCCCTGCCGCTGCCTCCTGCCTTGCCTCGTTTTCCCCTCCCCGTCGTCGTCGTCGTCGTCGCTGTCGTTGTCGCCGCCGGCGTCGGCGTCGCCGCCGTCGTCGTCCTCGTCGCGGTAATGTGGGGCGCCCCACGTTCCGGTGTGATGGCTTGGCTGTGCACACACATACACACATGGGTGGCTCAAACACGCGCTCTCACCCACCCGCGTTCCCACATGCTCCCGTGAGCCTTGTGCGGAGTCGCGCGGTGCAGGTGCGCCCCATCACGCCACCCGGAACCGACTGACAGCTTTCCACGCCGAGACAGCGCGCACACAGCACGGGCTGCACGCAGCGCCGGCTGCAGCTCCGTGGTTGTCTTGCGTCGCGTGTGTTGTGCGCAGGTTGGCTCCACCAGTGCGGGGACGGGGCCGGTCCTGGCGGTTGGGTGCTTTCAAGAGCGGCGTGCGGGGTGCGTATTTTGGTGTTGGGTGGCTGCACAGCGGACCGTGCCCCACCCACGTACTTCCCCCCTCGCCCACCGCCGCCTGCATCGTTTGCCTTGGCGCGCGGTTTGGGTTGAGACGGTGTGAAGTTACGGCGTCCCGCATTAGGTGGGGGAAACGAACGAACACACACACACACACACACAACACACACAACACACACACAACACACACACACAACACACACACAACACACACACAACACACACAACACACACACAACACACACAAGACACACAACACAACACACACACACACTCACGCACGCACGCACGCACGCACGCACGCACGCGCGCACGACGCACGCACGCACGCACGCACGCACGCACGCACACAGAGATGCACACATACACCCCTCCAGAGCTGGAGGGGGCAGCAAAACGCCATCACTCGATCTGAGCCCCTACACCTTCTGGGGGATCTGCTGTCCTGGGGGGGGGACGGGAAGGGTTCTGGAGAGCCCCTGTCGGGGGAGGGGGTCTCATTCTGGTCCTTCGCCTCCCCTCCCTCCTCCTCTTCCTTCCTCCCTGCTCCCCACTTCCCCCTTCTCTTTCTCTTCCGTCCGTTTCTTCTCGGACACGTCGTATCCTCTTCATCTTCCTACACCTATCTGTTGGCGCGCCTGCTATTCCGTGTCATGTCTTATCTCTTTCGCATTGTCTTCTACCTTTTACCCCTCTTCATACCTTCTACTTCGTCCTTCCACCTCTTTCTACATCCTACCTTTGGGCCTTGAGGATGCGGGCGCTCGAGTTCATTGTTGCAGCCCTAACTCCTCCTACCCCCTCATCCCTCCTCCTCTGTCTACCTGCCTCCTCCTCCTCCTCCGTCTACCTCCTCCTCCTCCTCTTCCTCCTCCGCCTCCTCCTCCTCCTCTTCCTCCTCCTCCCCCTGCGTGGCCGAGAAGATCGGCAGTTTCTGCTTGCACATCGTCTGTTCGAGAACCCTCGTCAACACGGTCAATTTCAAATACAGGGACCAGCCACCCTTAAGGCGGTGGATTCCGCCAGCATCCTTTTCCTCCTCCTCCTCCTCCTCCTCCTCCTCCTTCTGCTCCTCCTCCCCCTCCTCCTCCCCGCTGATACTCCTCCTCCTCCTCCTCCTCCTCCTCTTCTTCCTCCTCCTGCTCCTCCTCCTCCAGGAGAGGGGCCGAGCTCCACGCCGCCTTCCCGCCGCCAAGCTGCCCGCAGGTTCACCACGGAGCAGCGCAGGCTGCTCAACGGCAGTGCCGACTTCTTCGGCGCGCCCCTTCGCCCCAATCCCCGTCCTTGTCCTCGTCGTCGTCGTCTCGGCAGCGCTCAAACACACTCACCTATACGACCACCCTTTGGGTGATATGGAGGTTCGGGGGGGAGGGGGGAGCCAACGTCTGATTCAATCGATTTCACATCGATCAAACTCTCGATCTCACAACAGATCTCACTATCGATCCCACTACCGATCTCACGGTCGATCTCACAACAGGTCTCACTACAAATCTCACAATCGATCTCACGATCGATTTGACAATCGAACGCACTATCGATCTCACAAGCGATGGCACGATCGACCTAACAACAGATCTCAATGTCGAACTCACAACAGATGTCACTATCGATATCACAGCAGATCTCATTATCGGTTCCACATTCGGATTCACAATCGATATCACAGCAGTTCTCACGAACGATCTCACAATCGATCTCATCAGCGATCTCACTACCCGTCTCACCATCGACCTCACAATATATAGCATAATCGATCGCATTATCGAACTCATTGTCGATCCCACTAGATCTCACGAGCGATCTCACGATCGATCTCACAACAGATCTCACTGTCGAACTCACAACAGTTCTCACGATCGATCCCCCCATCGATCTCACGATCGATCTCACAACATATCCAACAATCGATCTCACAATCGATCTCACGATCCATTTGACTGTCGGACTCACTATCGCTTTCAGAAGCGATCTCACGATCGATCTCACAACAGATCTCACTATTGACCTCCCTATCGATCTCACCATCGATCTGACAATCGCATTCACTATCGATCTTACATTTGGACTCACGATCGATCTTCGATCTCACAACAGTTCGCACTATCGATGCTCCTCCTTGGAGAGCCCCTGGGGGCCTCGCAAAAGTTTTCAGGCTGTCTTAACGCCCTCCTGAGCGTGTTCTGGGGGCCTCTGGGGGCTTCCTTGAGCCACCCTGCCTCCAACCGCGGTCTCCCTGAAGGACGGGATTACGATTTGGAATGCTTCGGAGAGTGTCTTGGGGCCATCTTGGGCCGCCATGGGGCTCTCTTAGGGCCATCTTGGACCCCTGTTGTGCCGTTTTGGGGCTTTGTTGGATTGCCTGAAAGCCCTTTCGGATGTTTGTGGGGCGACTTGGGAGCCTCCGAGCGTCGGGAAGCCGAAAAGAGGAGAACCCCAAAATTCACCCAAAACCAGCAGAACATGATTTTTGCCTTGTGGGGCCTTCTTGGGAGTACTCTTGGAGGCCTCTTGTGAAGTTTTGGAGCGATCTTTGGGGGTATGACGGCTTCTTGGGGGTCGTCGTGGACCGTATTGGAGCTCTCTGGGGTCGTTTCGGGGGCGCGCCGGAACGCCTGGAACCCGTCTGGGGCCGTCTTCGGGCCTTCGTAAGGTTTTCCCGGGTCGTCTGAAGGGTTGCCTAGAGGCCCGGGGAGGGCCAAATTCGTCAGGGTGGGGGGGGGGGGCTTTGTCCGGCGTCCCCGGCCCTATAAAATTAGCCTGGCGAAGGACCCAACCATATGCAGTTGTGAATACCGCAATTGTGAATACCATCTTCGCCCGCGCTCCCTATGTGGCCACGGCTTCCCGCCGGAGCCCGACATGCTCAGGGACACGTTCGTGGCCGTCTTCGCGGGCGCCGACGACGACAAGGACGGCGTCCCTCACACCGAGGAGCAGAAGCAGGAGAGGGCCTTGAGAGCCATGCGGGAGGAGGTGGCGATGCACGTCGACAAGGCGGAGTACGACGCCCAGGCGCGGTTGTTGAAGCAGCACAACTATGGGGCCACGATCCTCGTGAGGGATGTGCCGCAGTGGCCCAGGGCCGCCATGCGAACGTTGCCACTGGCCCGTTCGGTGGAGCTCCCTATGGGGCCACGATCCTCGTGCGGGGTGTGCCGAAATGGCCCGAGGCCGCCATGCGAACCCTGCCACTGGCGCCCGCGGTGGAGCTCCCTATGGGGCCACGATCGTCGCGAGGGGTGTGCCGAAATGGCCCGAGGCCGTCGTGCGAACCCTGCCACTGGGGGCCTTCGGTGGAGCTCCCTATGGGGCCACGATCCTCGTGAGGGGTGTGCCGAAATGGCCCGACGCCGCCGTGCGAACCCTGCCATTGGGGGCCTTCGGTGGAGCTCCCTATGGGGCCACGATCCTCGTGAGGGGTGTGCCGAAATGGCCCGACGCCGCCGTGCGAACGCTGCCACTGGCGCGTTCGGTGGAGCTTCCCTATGGGGTCACGATCCTCGCGAGGGGTGTGCCGAAATGGCCCGAGGCCGCCATGCGAACGCTGCCACTGGCGCGTTCGGTGGAGCTCCCTATGGGGCCACGATCCTCGTGAGGGGTGTGCCGAAATAGCCCGAGGCTGCCATGCGAACCCTGCCACTGGGGGCCTTCGGCGGAGCTCCCTATGGGGCCACGATCCTCGTGAGGGGTGTGCCGAAATGGCCCGAGGCCGCCACGCGAACGCAGCCGCTGGCGCCTTCGGTGGAGCTCCCTATGGGGCCACGATCCTCGTGAGGTGTGTGCCGAAATTTCCCGACGCCGCCATGCGAACCCTGCCACTGGGGGCCTTCGGTGGAGCTCCCTTCTGGGGCCACGATCCTCGTGAGGGGTGTGCCGAAATGGCCCGAGGCCGCCATGCGAACGCTGCCACTGGCGCCTTCGGTGGAGCTCCCTATGGGGCCGCGATCCTCGTGAGGGGTGTGCCGAAATAGCCAGAGGCCGCCATGCGAACCCTGCCACTGGGGGCCTTCGGTGGAGCTCCCTATGGGGCCACGATCCTCGTGAGGGGTGTGCCGAAATCGTCCGAGGCCGCCATGCGAACGCTGCCACTGGCGCGTTCGGTGGAGTTCCCTATGGGGCCACGAGACGCTGCACTGGGTGGGTGAAACGCAGGGAGGAGGGAAGAGTGACGGGAGGGGGGAGGAGGGGGAGGAAGAGCGGGAGCGGCGGGAACGCGGGGCACCGTCTCTTCAAAACGAGGACCCAACACAACAGGATGGTTGGGAAATATATGAATATGAATGTGTATATATACATAGATATATGTATATATATACATATATATACATATATATATATATATATATATACGGCATGGTATACAGTCGGATCAGACGGTGGATGGATTCGGTTTAAAAGTGGGCTTTTAGGACAACTATAAAAATTGTTCGATGGTACTGCTTGCTTAAAGATTATTACAGTATTCGGGTATAGAATAGTATATGACCAGTCATTAACAGGGAAGGACCGAGTACAGATGTACATGTATGAACCTCGATATATATATATATATATGTGCAAATGTACAACTAGATGCATACACACATACATATCTATTCGGTTCGGGCATGCGCCTCCGATGGGGGGCGCATACCACTAGCACGGCAGTCTGGCGTCCGAGCGTCCTCTTCTTCGTCGTGCTTCTCGGCGTCCTCCTCGCTGTCCTCGTCGTTCTCGTCCTCATGGTCGTCGTCCTCCTCCTGGGCTGGACTGGTGGCGTCGGGGACCCTGAAGACGCTGCCATCCGTCTTCTTCTTTTTCCTCCTCCTCCTCCTCCTGTTGCTCCTCCTCCTCCTCCTACTCCTCCTCCTCTTTCCGCTTCTACACCCCTCCCACTCCTCATCCATTTCCCAAAGGAAATGCTAGATCTGAGCACTGATGAGACCCAGAGGGCGTGTCGCAGAACAGAGCCGTGCGGCCTTCTGTGGCTGATGCTCTCGACGACCACACTCCGCAGCGCAACGCGCTGTCCACCTGAACTGCCAGGTTCCAGCACATAGCCCCGAAGTGGTCAAAAGGTCAGCAAATCGTCCTTCTCTTCCCCCTTCTCAGCATGTAATCCATATGTGTATAGTCTCCCTCCTCCCCTGGAGTTGTCCGGAAGATCTCCCGTCCCCTCCGCATGTTTTTTTGCACATCGGATTTCATACATTGATTTCTCCTTTCTGTTTTTGCATTTGGATTGTTGTCGGTGTTTCACATGGTGCTCCCGCTGCAGCGTGGGCCTCATTTCGGATCGGCGCGTGGCTCCCATCGTTCAGAATGGCGCTCTCGGCCCAGCGCGGGCCATTATCTCGACGGCGCAGCATCTTTGTATTATGATTGTGCTTCGGTCGTTTCTGTTGGCTCCAGGGACCTCGTGGACCGTCTCGGGGGGCAGAGGACCCACGCGGGTTCTGTCCTTCAGGGTTCCTCGGGCGCGGGCTCTAGGATTAATGACATAATCAAAGTTGCTGCCCAGAAATATCAATTCGAAGCAGGGATTTCGGAGCAGGAGGCCTGGCGTCGCGCGGGCAATCGCGGCTGATGAGTCTGCGAAGGCAGGCGCCAGGCTCCATCCTCAGGCGGAGCCGAGGGTGCTCGATCATTTTGGGTGCTCTATTCGTGTCTCCAAGGCTGTGACAACCTCGGCGACCAAATTGCTTCCCCTTTGGCCGCGCTGCAACCTGGAGGGAGTTCCCTAAATGTGCGGCCTTCTGCTAAAAGCAAGGGCCCTCCTGCTGAGTCGCATAATTGGTCTTGGACTGGAGAATAGTGGCAGTGTCTTTCGTGCTTGAGAGGAAGGAGAGGCGAGCAGAAACCGCCCCCTGGCCGCTGCGTAGCCCCTCCCCGCCTCCACCCCAATCTCATTGCTAGCAGCGGCCATCACTTTGCGGTAGTCGACTGCTCAGATGGCTCTTTTTTGTGTATTTGCTTCGAGTGTGGTTATTACAGCTTCGAGTGTGGTTATTACAGCTCTGGTGGCCGAGTTGTGAAGTTGGGTCAGCCTTGTAATCCTTCCAAGACGGGAGCAGGGCAAACGGCTTGGACTTTATTTATCCAGGGCCGTCACCCACAGCTGAATTAGCGTGAGAAGAACGTCAAGGTTCTGTCCTCGCCTTGATTTTTTTAAGAACGCCCACGTTGACAGTCCTCTGTAGCAACAAAAAACGCTCCAAGACGGCGGTCTTCTGGGCGTCCGAAGCCGCCTGGGAGGTTCCAAAACCGCTCCACAACCATCCGAGAAGGGCATACAGGCAGTCCAAGAGAGCCCCAAAACGGCACAACGGGGGTCCAAGATCGCTTTGACGCCATGGTGGCCCAAGATAGCCCCAAAACACCCTCCGAAGCATTCCAAATCGTAACCCGGTTGTTCAGGAAGACGGCGGTTGGAGGCAGGGTCCGAGGAAGCCCCCCACAGACCCCCAGAACACGCTTGGGAGGCCTTTAGAAGGCGCTAAGACAGCCTGAAAAACTTGTGCGAGGTCCCCAGGGGCTCTCCAAGGAGGAGCCTCCGCAAAAAGAGCTGAGGGGGATGGGGAGAATGCGCAGGGTGTGGCGAGAATGAAGAAAAAGAAGCATGGAGGAAGGACAACGAAAACCATCATTATAACGGCGATGCCAGAAAAGGCAACAAGGAATCATCGCTGAATTGTCGCGGCTTGACCTTCCTGCCATTCCGCTTGCATACCAAAGTCCAAGGACACAGGTGCATGGCGCCAAGCGCCACTGCAGTCTTGCATATATGTATATACATACACATATACATACACATATACATACATACATACTTACTTTCACTTACACACATATATACACAGACTTACATGGCTTCAGACACTGTATGTGTCCATGCATGCACTTTCCCCAGAAAAGTGCTGCTGCCCGCGCCCCGGGATTATTGAATCTGTTCTACTGAACTGGACCTGCGGGCCGCTCTGGCCGCCATGTGGCCGCGGCCGCCGTCGCCGCCTCGTTGCCGCCCGTCGCTGCCCGTCGCCCTGGGCCTGCGGGCGGGCCGCTCTGGCCGCCATGTGGCCGCTTTGGCCGCCTCGTCGCCACCCGTCGCCGCCCGTCGCCTGGGCCTGCGGGTCACTCTGGCCGCCATGTGGCCGCCGGCGCCGCCTCGCCGCCGCCCGCTCTGCATTGCTTCGCATTATTTTGTATTGTTTTGCGTCGCGTTGCGCTGCTCTGCATTGTTGCTTTATCACGTTGCATTGCGTTGCATGGCACTTCGTTGCTTGGCATTTATTTGCATTGCTGTGCGCTGCGTTGGCTTCCTTTTGAGAAACGTCGCATTGCATTGCGTTGCGTTGCATGGCGTTGCATTGATTTGCATTGGGTTGCATTGCGTTGCTTTGGATTGGCTTGCATTGCTTTGCCTTGAGTTCCATCGCTTTGCAACGCTGTAGCAATGCTTTGCAGTGCTCTGCATTGCTTTGCATTGCTTTGCGTTGCTTTGCATCTTTTGGAAAGGCGTTGCATTATTGCATTGGGTCGCATTGCGTTGCGTTGCGCATATTTGCATTACTTTGCATTGCTTTGTGTTTCAATACTTTGCCTTGCTTTGCAGTGCGTTGCGTTGCGTTGCATTTCGTTGTATTGCGTTGCATTGCGTTGCTTTGCGCTCTGCATTAGTTTGCGCCACGTAGATTGTACCACATGGTTTGCACCACCTAGATCGCACCACAGTGATTGCACCACCCAGACTGCACCGCATATATTGCGAGAGGTCACGACTTGGGGTCCACATTGGCCAACAAATGTATGAAGTTATCCTTCCTATCTCTTGTTTTTTCTCTCCCTCTCTCTCTGTCTTTCTATTGTTGCGTCTCTCTCTCCCTCTACATCTCTGTCTCCATCTCTCTTGTTTTGTCTCTCTCTCTCTCTCTGTTCTCTCTCTCTCTCACTCTCTCTCTCTCTCTCTCTCTCCCTCTTTTAGAGATTTACATCTTCGAAAAGACACACGCGCACACTGGCACACGACAAACGGCCCAGGCCTGCATGCGGGCTCCAGCCCCTCCTCCCTCGCCGTCCCCCTCCAGCCGAGGCCTCAACCACTACGGCACCAGCTGGGCGGAGTACGACCCCGGCTCCCCGCACCCCGACGACTCCTACGCGGCGACGTCCCACGACGGCTTCGTGCAGGGGGGCTCCGTCTGGCTCTACGGCGGAGCCCCGCGCGCTCCGCGCGTCATCCTCGTCGTCGTCGTCGTCGTCGTCGTCGTCGTCATCGTCGTCGTCAGCGGATGAGGAGGATGAGGAGGAAAGGGAAGAGGAGGAGGAGTAGGACGAGGAGGAGGATCGTAGTGTAATTGCTGATGCCCTCGCTGATAGGCACAACCCTGTCTATTAAGATGGAGCACGTGGGCTCTTCCATCCCTGGAGCGGTGCTCGTGAAGGATGGGATGACAACCTTTTGGCCCCAGAGTCTGGACAGGGACGTTCGTTGGCACCTGGTGTTGGTGGATGGTATGTGTAGTCAACACTCCCAGAGGTGGCCACTTCTTTCCGACATCTAAGGTTCGACGGGGGGTGCTTTATGGTACATTAGAGGTGATAGGTCGCATTGAGTGTCTCACCGCATGCCCCACTGCAGCAAGAATCGCCATCCTGGTGGTGACGGGATTGGGCCCTTTTCCACAACACGTCGGCATGGGAAGCACGCTTTGCAGCAGGCCGGGACGCCACCCGGGGGGTTACTAGGGAGGACTTGCTCCCCTGGGCGGCGGATCGCCGACCTGAGCAGAGTTTCGGTCACGCTCGTGGGACAGCCTCCCCGGCCATCCCACGAGCTAAGCGACGCATGCCACCACACTGATCTCTGCACCCGCCGCCGGTGCATTTGGGACGAGACTTCTTCTTCGCCGCGTGCCCCCGCGCGCGACATTTGGCTCCTGCAGGTCATCTTTTGGTGAGATGCCAGATATGCCGTGCTCGATCGTGCTTCACATGACGGGCCATGGTAAGCGGATGGGCGTGCGAGCGCGCAGGGCCGCGGGCCCCGCCGTCAGACTGCGTCCTTGAGGCAAATGTCACAGGACGGGGGCAAGCGCGCAGAATCGCTGGATGCGCGCGAGCTGGCACTGCTGCCGGGCAGCGCCCGTGAGGAGACGAACCGCGGCAACCAGGGAAACGTGAGAACGTGCAGGGCCGCAGGCCTCGCCGCTGGGATGTGTCTTTGAGGCAGCAGCCTCGCAACGGGGCTGAGCGCGCATAAATGGTGGACGCACGGAGGCTGGCGCTGCCCCCAGCCAGTGCCCGATTGGGGACGGCCAGCGGCACCGGGGGAGACGCGAGAGCGCGCAGGGCCGCCGGCCCTGGCGCCAAGCAGTGAGGGGCCAATGCCTCGCGACGGGGGCAAGCGCCCAAAGCCTGCGGATGCACGAAAGCTGGCGCTGCTGCTTGCCAGCGCCTAAGAGGATGCGAACCGCGGTAGCGGAAAGACGGGAGAGCGTGCAGGGCCGCCGGCCTTGCCGCCAGGCGGCGTCCTTGATGCATTTGCCTCGCGACTGGGGTAAGCGCGCAGAATCTGCGGATGCGCGAGAGCTGGCGCTGCCGCCCGCCAGCGCCCAAGAGGACACGAAACGCGGTGATGGGAAAGACGTGAGCGCGCGCAGGACCGCTGGCCTGGCCGCCGGATTGTGTCCTTGAGGCAATTGCTTCGCGACGGGGTTGAGCGCGCGAAATTGGTGGATGCGCGCAAGCTGGCGCTGCCGCTAGGCAGCGACCAAGAGGAGACGAACTGTGAGGACCAGGGAAACGAGAAAGTGTGCAGGACCGCCGGCTTTGCCGCCAGCTTGCGTCCTTGAGGCAATTGCCTCGCGAAAGGGGCAAGCGCGCAGAATCGCTGGATGCGCGGAAGCTGGTATTTCCGCCGGGCAGCGCCCGTGAGGAGACGAACCGCGGTAACCAGGGAGACGTGAGAATGTGCAGGACCGCTGGCCTGGCCGCCGGGTTGTGTCTTTGAGGCAGCAGCCTCCCGACGGGAGTTAGCCCGCCTGAGTTGTGGATGTACGAAAGCTGGCGTTGCCGCCAGCCAGCAGGGCGGGTCGTTTTCAACATGTGGTTATCACCGTAGTGTCGCGCACATTCGTCTTCAACGCTTACAACCGATTCCAACGGATTCGTGTATTTGACGTCCCAGAAATGGTGTTCTGGCTCGGCTTGGAATTGCCAAGGCGCAACAGTCATGTTGATTCGCGGTGAGAAAGCGTCAGTGTCAGGTCTGGTGTTCTGGCATGTTGCAGGGTCGTCGGCACGCAACAGTAAGGATGACTCACGGCGTGGAGGTCCCTGGAAAGCTGTTTTGGCACGGCTGAGGATTCTCAGACAGTTGTCTTTCAATGGGGCTGTTCCTGCTCTGAAATGAATTACCGTAGGTGCTTACGAAAAAGGAATATTGGAGGGAGGGTTCAATGAAACGTCGTTGACGACTGGCCTTGAGTTTACACTGGTCCTCCTTCTCCTCCTCCTCCCCCTCCCTCCGCCTCCTCCTGTCCATTCCCCCTATCCGCCTTGTACTCCTCCTCCCCATCCTCCGTCTCTTTCCTTATGAATCATATGTCCTCGTCGCATCCTAAACGAATCGGTCAGGCGGGCCGTGCGTTTCGCATGAGATCGCATGAGATCTCCTCACCAGTTCTGATCCTGCAGCTTGACAAATTTAACAGTTTCAATGGTGAAGAGCGGGTGTTTTTCCAACACGTGGCTCTTGTAGCGCCGCGCAGGTTCATGTTCAAAGTTTGCGGCATGCTCATTGATGGATTGCGTGTGGTTTTCAAAATGTGGTTCTCGTTTCAGCGCCGCGCGCACTCGCTTCAGAAGATTGCAGTAGCTTTGAGGATGGAGGGCGGATCCTTTTCAACATGTGGCTCTCGCCTTAGCTCCGCACGCATTCAAAAGGTGTTTTGGCACGGTTGAGGATTCTCAGACGGTTGTCTTTCAATGGGGCCTCTCCCGCTATGAAAATGAATTGTTGCAGGGACCTATGACGAGGGAATTTGGAGGGATGGTTGATTGCATCATCGTTGGTGCACTTTTGGTTTACAAGGGTCCTCCTCCTCCTCCTCTTTCTCCTCTCCCTCCTCCTCCTCCTCCTCCTCCTCCTCCTCCTCCTCCTCCTCCCCAACCACCCTCTCCAGCCATCCTCTTCGCTCCTCTCCTCCTCCTCCTCCTCCTCCTCCTCCTCCTCCTCCTCCTTCTCCTCCTCCTCCTCCTCCCCCTCCTCCTCCTCCTCCTCCTCCTCCTCCTCCTCCTCCTCCTCCTCCTCCTCCTCCTCCTCCTCCTCCATCTCCTCCTCCATCTCCTTCTCCTCCTCCATCTGCTCCTGCTCCTGCTCCTCCTTCTCCTCCTCCTCCTCCTTCTCCTCCCCAGCCACCCTCTCCAGCCATCCTTTTTCGCTCCTCCCATCCTCCTCATCCTTCTCCTCCTCCTCCTCCTCCTCCTCCTCCTCCTCCTCCTCCTCCTCCTCCTCCTCCCTCCTCCTCCTCCTCCTCCTCCTCCTCCTCCTCCCCCTCCCCCATCCTGGCTCAAGGCCGCCACCTGGGGGGACAGGCTCAAGGCCCCTGCCGCCCGTGCGTCGCCTGTTCTGGCGGCTGCCCCCCCAAGGTGGCCCACGGCACGCGGTGGGGGGGCGGTGGACCCGGAGGTGTTCTTGCGCGCGCCGGATTGGAACGCCCCAGAGATTGGAGCGGCGGGATTTTGGCAATTTTCGGCCTCCGGGGGCCTTCGCCGGGCCTCGAGAGCGTCAGAAAACGGCTCGAGACGAAACACCGGCCCTAGGGAGGTACCTCTGGACGTTTGGGGCCCACGCGCATCCGGATGTCTGGGGCCGATGGCCGCGGTAAGGGGCTCGGCTGCGATCGCTCGCCGAGCTGCACCAGCGACGGATGCTGGCCGCGAGCCGCGCGCCGCTGCGGCGGGCTCGGGCTGAGGCGGACCGCCCTGTCGCACGGCCGCAGCGGCGGAGGGCAGAGGCCGCCGGCCGCAAGAGGGAGGGTCGAGGAGGCGCGGCCGCGCTCCACGCCACTGCTGGCGGACGCTCGAGGCAACTTCGCGCCTCACCGCTGTGCGTACTGCCGCCGCTGGCGCGCTGGCGGCCTTGGTGGCGCGGCGCACGTAGCCGTCGCCGCCGCCGTGGGGAGGCCCTGGGGCGCAGCGTCGCCCCGCGTGCTGGCACGCCTGGCGTGAGCGCGGCGTTGCACTGCGCGGCTCAGCCGGGCCGGGGGGCGCACGCAGCCGGGCCGCGGGCGCGCGAGAGTCGCTGTGGGGCTGCTGGGGCCGCGGGCCTTCGGGGGCTGCTGGTGGGCCTCGCTGAGCAGCGGTCCTCTGCTCCCTCCCATATTGGTGGCACTCCTCCTCCTCCTCCTCCTCCTCCTCCTCCTCCTCCTCCTCCTCCTCCTCCTCCTTCCTCCTCCTCCTCCTCCTCCTCCTCCTCCTCCGCCCTCCTTCCACTTCCTCCCTCGTCCCTCCTCCCTCCTCCTCTTGAGCAGCGGTCCTCGCGACTGCCCCGCCCCCGTGGCGCTCCTCTTGCCACGACGGCCGAGGGAAGGCCGCCAGCGCTCCCCACCCACGGGTTTCACCGTGGCCTTAGCTGTCAGTGGGCTTGTGTGCTGCAGCCCTGGCGCTGGCCCGGGACAGGCTGGCGGGCTGGCTAAATTGCCCGCCGTGGGGCCGACGAGGTTCTCGGGATCGCGCAGGGTGACCTGTATGCCGAGGAAAAGTTCGGGGAGTCTCGCGAGGTCGAGGTGCGCGGCAACGGCACCGCCACGGCCACGGTGCACACCGAGGGCGAGCTGGGAGGACACCGCCGAGATGGAGGACGTGACCGCGCATGGCTGGTCGATGTGCGCCCGCCGCCGTGCTCTGCGGAATCAGTGCGGCACGCTTGCGACGCGCAACATGGAGCAGCAGAAGAAGCAGTTCCAGCAGGATAGCGACAAGCGCAGGTTGGCGGCCGAGAGCCTGCGCGCGGCCCTCGCAGAGCGCGCGCGCGACGAGCCCGGCCCGCGCGTTGGTGGCGGCTCCGGATGCGTGCGCGCAGCGCCGCCGCGTCTTCGAGGGTGGAGGCGATCAGGGGTGGGTGTGCTCCGCCTCCCCGGCGTTTGTGCCTTGAATTTGCTCCGTTGCGCCCCATCTTGCCGTACTTCTGCTCGGACCCCAAGTGGCCGCCGACCGAAAATGTGTGCGCCGCCTCCCGTCTGAGCTCCAGCCCGCGGCAGTCTGGAGCGGGTGTGGCTCCGACGTGGGCAAGTCGGAGGGCGGCAGGACGCACTGTGCCGTCGAGTTCGCAGCAGCGTGTGGCAGCGTGCGCGCGGCGTGCCGTTGCCGCGGCGTCGGCTGCAGGCGCCGCAGGACGGGCGAGAGGCGCCTGCAGGGTGGAGGTGCCCGCTCGTGGTCGACGGCGTGGTCTGCGAGGCTCGCTCTAGGCATAGATCGCGGCCGAGCTCGCGCGATTCCTCAAGGCCGAGGAGGCCAGGAAAAAGCCAATGCGGCCGAGCCTGCAAGGGCTTCGGGGGTGTTTGTTCCTATGTTCTCTTCTCTCGCGCCTCCCTCCTCCCCCCGTCCCCTCCGATCTCTGGCGTGTCATCCTTCTTATCCTTCTCCTCCTATTGCACGTCCTCTCTCTCCTCCCCTCCCTCCCGCCCTCCCTCTCCTCCTCCCCCCCTCCCCTCCTCTTTATGTGTGCCGCGAGTTGTTCTGCGACGTGCGCCGCCGCAGCAAGGCACGGTCCCGGGCTCCTCGCTCCCCGCCCTTTGCGCGTCGTGGTGGCCGCCTCCGGTTTGCGGCACCGCGAGGCCGTGCTCACGAGGAGGGGGGGAGGAAGCACGAGGGGAGGGGAAGAGGACGGCCAGGAGTGGACCTAGGCCCACCACCCCTTTTCCTTCCTCCCCCCCTTAGCACCCGTGCAGCCCGCGCACGCACGAGCAGTTCGACGAGGTCAAGGTCAATTCTTGCATGCTATGACGGGCGGCTGCTCAGGGCGCAGGCGGTTGAAACCATCAGGTGCCCACGCGGTGAAGAGCACGTAGTGTCATACATTTCCAAGAACGGGCGTCCTTGATTGTTGTTTTGCAGCCACCGGTCCCAAACTCAGTGCAGAAGCAGTGGGCATCGTACTCTCACGTCTTGCGCGGTCGTCCTTGAGACGTATTCCCGGCATGTGGCAGTACACCAACACGTGACAGCGTGTCAGCGTGTCAGCGAGCGATCGGTATGCAGATTGACGACGCACCCTACGGAGATCCGATGATGGCGCACAAATATGGTACAACCGACCGCCACTATTTGAAATAATCGTCTTCTCGATGATCGGAGACACATTCGTGCCACAAATGTAACATCTCATGCCACGGGCTGGTCCAATCGATCTCACCATGTGGCCAAACATTTGTCCGAAAAGCTTGCGGCATGCAGCGTCCAGCTTCTTCGGTTCGGTAACTAAGACACCATGCCCGTCAACCTAGCCAAAGGGGGTGATGGCGACTCGAAAGTGATTGGAACGTGCTGCAGCCGAGTCGCGTTCCGCTCATACCATATACACCTGCTCGCGTAGAAAGCCTCCGTAGCAGCTTGGATGCCACATTCCAGATAGAGCTGCACGTGCCGAGCTCATCGACCACGTGCATCCCAGCCATCTATGCGAACTCACACGCTCAACACAGACCCCAGATGGGAACAATAGCGTTTCCGATGGCTGCGCCTCGGTTGTCTGAGCAGTTTGCATCAAGCCAGCTGCAGTGATCTCCTCAAAGAGCGACGTCAAGCAGTCTCTTTGTCGATCTGGCGAAACATCTTCCAATCTGCCTGACGTGCTATACCCAAAATCCCCTGGGCTGGGGCCAGTTCGAGGTTCGGCGAGCCCTTCGAGTTGCGCCTCGCCTGACTGCCTAGCCCAAATCGTGCGTTGTATACATGGTTGCTGCGCTAACGACAAGTGGGCCATCGCGCCACGGGGTGCCTGGTGGGGAAAGCAGCGGTCATCGAGGAGGAGAGCCCGCGCCCGCCTCGTCCAGGTGCTGGACAGAAGACGCCCAGGACAGTTTGGCGCGCGCGGGGGCGCCGTCGCACCGCGCCAGCGGCCACTCCTGGTGAGGCCCCTCAGCGCAGCCCGTTCTGGCGACCCCTGAGGATCTGAGCCGCGCACATGCCGCCAGCCATGATTTTCGCCCCCGCCCCCCCCCCCTCCCCCTCTCTCATGGAGGCCCCCGACAAAACAGCCCCACCCTGTTCGATCCCTTCCCTGGGTGCGGCTACTGATGTGGCTTCGCTCGTCGGAGTGCTGATTATGAGGGTGGTTTTTCTTTCTCGTGCCCTACTCGTCAGGGCGGGAGCGAGCCGAAAGCGCCCTGCGAGCGAACCCGGTGAGGCCGTCGTTCTGCTTGCCGACCCCGTCCGGCGGTCTGGCAGCCTCACCCGCCAAAGCAGCATGGCTGGAGCTCGGGAGGATTCCAGGTGTGGGCTTTGATCTTCCACGGTGAAGGGCGTTCAGGATGAGGGTGGATCAGTTCGGCCCTCCATGGTGAAGGGACCGAGAGGGACTCGCTGTCCACTGTCTACCCTCAGCCTGATGTGAAGGCCAGCCAGGGGCAGTTCAGGACAGTACAGCCGAAGGTGAAACAGGGAATTCCAAAATGGTGTCGTCTTCGACGAGTCGATGGGTTTACCTCTTGCCTCGGCGGGAGCTGACGGAAGCGGCGGAAGTAAAAAAAAGGTGATTCCGCTGGCGGACCTTGGCAGAAGTTCGGCGGAAGCCAGCGGCAGCAAAACCAGGCACCCCAAGACAAGCCAACGCGAGTTGAATAAAAACAGCCGCTGGCGTCGGCCAAGTGTCAAGCCTTTGTGTCGAAGGACCCGCTTCCGTACCATCCCGCATCTCTCTCTTTTTTTCTACAGATGGGGATGGTCGGGGTTGGTTGTTGAACAGGAGACTAATTTGATTCCGAACGTCGTCCAACTCTACACTTCATACAATGTCCCATCTGTCTTCCAGAAAATAGGCCGCTGTCTGTGCGGAGGATGAGTTTGGGGAGTACGGAGGATGTGCATGCACGGGGACGCGAACCCGCCAGGCAGTGGCTGGGGCTTCCGCAAGCTGCTCAACTGGGTGCACCGGCGTTACCCGGCGTACTCCATCATTGTGACAGAGGCCGTGCTTCGAATCCTTGCGGTGCTTCAGTCTGAGCCTCTGGCTGTTTTCTCTTCCTGCTCGAGAGGCCGGGGAGCCGGCCGTGGTCGGGGCTCGGTTGGTGAGGGCTCCACTACACGTAAGAGTGACCCTTCGCCGGAGTGACATTTGGTGCGGGCCCATTGGGGCGCCCCCGATCGCCGAACGCGAGGCGATAGTAGCGTCTTGCGCGCTTGTGTTTGGCCCCCCCGCGGCCGCCAAAAAGCCGCGCACCAAAGGTCACTCTTACCCAGGGTCGCTCTTGCGTGTAGCCGAAGGGCCTTCTGCCTGCACATTCGAAATGAAGAACAAGCGACGAAATCAAGGACCCTTGCATCTCGTATGCTTGTCTTTGAAGATGCCTTGCGTCCTGACTTGCGCCTATATCACCGACTGACATTGCAAGGTCTACTTCCAGACCCACGAAGTTACGACAAACACGTGGTGACAGCAGGGATCATGTGTCGGGGAATGGGGGGCACAAAGATGTGAACGACGCCGGTATCCGAACAAGCAATTCTGAGGGTTTTCCGGTTCTTGGTCCCATGTTCGCTAACAAGGTTTGTTTTCTCAGGGACGATTGCGAGGGGGCAACATCCTTGATGTACGCACCTTGCTTGCTGTCGAAACTGAGATGAACGATGAGGGTTCACGGCGAGGAGCGAGGGAGGATGGCGGAGGCGGCGGAGGACAGTGCACGATGAGGATTTGGGAGAAGGAGGAGGATGCGGAACATGAAGAGGAGGTCAGGAGGAGGAGGAGAGGAGGAAGGAGGAGGAGGAGGAGGAGGAGGAGGAGGAAGAGGAGGAGGTGAGGAGGAGGAGGAGGAGGAGGAGGAGGAGGAAGGGAAGCACCCATGCGAGCGGAAGCCCGGCTCGGGTGCGCTGGCCCGAAGGCGCTTCGCGGTGCATCCACAGCTGAAACCGAAGCCAAAGCTGAGGCGCACGGAGAAATGGGGCCACCCTGCAGGCTTGGTTAATGGCGCAATCGTTCAGCGGTGCTGCAGCAAGAAGAGAGGAAGAGGAGGGAAAGGGGGGGAGAGGAGAGACAGGGAGGAATAGGAGGAGGAGGAGAAGGCGGAGAAGGAGGAGGAGGAGAAGGAGGAGGAGGAGGAGGAGGAGATGGCAGAGAACACATCTTCACGTCAGAGCGCGCCGAAGAAGGCAAAATGGGGCAGACGATAAAAGTGGGAAAAGGCGAGCACGCACAACTCGACGAGGCAGAAGGTAGGGCACGCGGCACGAGTCGGGCGAACTACCGAAGACGAAGCCATAATCAGGAATTGTCCGTGGCCAAGAGGGGACGGGGCTCCCCCGTCCGCTCACCTGTCAGGGGGTCCTTGCCAGCCTCCAGGGCCTTCAAGTAAGTGACGTCCTTGCTGGACACCTCCCCGAGACGGGGCCCCCAAAGGCGGCACCTCGCCGCACTCGATTGGGCCCGAGGGCTATACCGACGGCAGAGTGCTGGAGCGCCAGCGAGGCGGGGCCCTGAGCAGGCAGGGGGCGATCGGGCGGGAGCGCATGCCTCGCCACTCTCGCAGCTCCCCCTCGCGCCCCTGGAGGCCCTGTCCCTCTTAAGGGGCGTCTCGCCACCCAGGGTCCCCGGCCGCTTAGGGGGGGCCCGGGAGAGACAGGGGGCCGAGAGGCGAGGGACCTTCGGTCGGGGACCTTCCGGAGCCCCACTCCGCACAACCACCAGATCGGGGGGGGGAGTGACGTGCTCAGGAAGGGAGGAGGATCGGGAGAGGGATTCCAGCGAGGCACACCTCGTAGCCCCGGCGAGCGGGGTGCAGACACCCTCTAAGTCGATGTCCCTCTGCTCCTCCTCCGTCCTGAACCTCGCTCTTGGAGGCACCAGGTGTTCAGGTCCAAAAACTCCGAGTGGCCTAAGTCGACGGATCATGGGATAACTCCACGGGCGGGCCAGGGCACGCAGGCCCACGCCCGGCCCCCAAGGGGCCCACAGGCGAAGGCTGGGCCGAGTCCCCAGCGCACGGCTCGATCCTGCCCGAGCGCCCCTCGGTAGCCCACACAGGCCGCCGCCTCGGCCAGGCCACCCTGCGCTCACGACTCTTCAGAGCCCTAAGACCTCACAGGCCCGGCGTAGGCAGGACAGCGGTCGCATACCCTTTTTGAGCCCGCGGCGGCGGAGCGGGCGGGCGCGGGAGGGCGCAGGAGGAGGGATGGCGCAGGCCTTGGGCATCCGCTCGGCCACCTTCTCCTCCCACTGCGCGGCCTGTCCCTCGTCCTGGCCTTCGGCGGCCCGACG